ACCTCACATAGGAATAAAAGGTAAACCGTAATCACATTAGTATATAAAAAAATCGTAAAATAAATTTAGAGACTCAAAACTATAGAGCCCTTCACTGTGGAACTTTTTTTTTTAGAGACTCGAAAATTTTACCGGGTCTTCATATGGGTCTCCAAAACAAAATTTGGAGACCCGATTTGCTTACTCCATTGGAGATGCCCTTATAACCCCTTTAAATAAGAATAATAAAATTGCCCTTTTATATTGTTATGGCAAATTAATAAAAAAATTGTAGATATGTCCTATTTGTTTTTTGGAATTTTATAATAAAAAAATGGTTTTTTAATTATAAATTTTCGTTTTTTCTAATATTAATTTAAAAAAAGTGTTTTTTTTTTTCGGTTCATTTTTTCATAAAAAAATGTTTTTATGTCCAACATGTTCTCCTCGTTTTGGGTTTGTACGCGGTGATGAAAATAGGCGACTACTGTTGGTTGATCGAATTTGTCGAAAAAATTCGAATTAATTATTGGGGCTCTTTAGCAGCGGAGAGGGAAGAGATGGTGGTGACGGTTGAATTTTGCAAACGAATGGAGGATTATACCTGCCCTGTCTTCCCTAAAAAATCAATTTTCAAGAAGATCATATCAATACTAACTCCAAAAATCTTAATTTCAAATATATTGCTCAAGAACACAAAATATTAGAAGGTAGATTTTGAGATTGTAATCACTATATTTATTTTGATTCAGTAAAAATATTATTTGCATAATTTTCCTAATTTATTGCCTATTGGGCCGAAAGTTGAATGAAATCAAATGGATTTATTTTTGGAAGATTTTCGAAATCAAATGGATTTCTAGATTCCCAAATTTTTGGAATGAAACTGGAAGCAGTTTTGTAATTCGATAAAAAAAAGGGTAAATTACAAAAAGAAAATTCTCATGTTTGGGTAATTACAATCACCACTTCAACTATAAATTTTCTTACGTGTTCACCTTTGCGGTTTCAAATTTAATGTAATTTTCTAGATTACATGAAATATTCTCAATTTTGTACCCGTTTTATCCCGTTCAATCTCCACATTTTGAAACAAGATGATCATAAGATGTGTTTTTTGGCTTGCATATATTATATTTTGGTGCATCAGAAACTGTATTTTGCACACAAAATGACTACAAACTAGAGAATATTCCACAGAATCTACTTGATTATTTTGAATTTGATACCATAAGGGTGAACATATAAGAAGATTCATAGTTGAGAGGGGTAGATGTAATCATCCAAACATGAGGGGGTTCTGTAATTTAACCATACCTCAACAAGGGGTTGGTTGTAATTTTTCCCAAAAAAAAACGAAATATTCGATAAAAGTTAATTCCATATCGTTTCCGTCCAAAGTTCACCACTAATTGATTCTTCAAGCATGAAATATGTGTCACACTTGTCACGAAAAGAAAAAAAAAAACGAACAAGGAAACAAAACAAAACGACACTTTTAATGATTATAATTATTGATTTTGATAAAAGTTGAAAGTGCCCAAATAAAGTTATTAACGTGACATATTAGTCAAACAATGTCACTTTAATAATTTAACCTAAGATAAAGCAATAAAAAAAACAGCATTTTGGTGGTGGAGCCTTTTCTCCTATTTAATTTTTTTATTGAATAATTAATCAAATTAATTGTGCTCTTAGAGATAACCCCAAAATGTTATAATAATAGACAAAGGCCTAATTCCAATTTCCCTATTAGAGATATGTTAGTATTTTTCGAGCAGTTCCAATATTACACTTCACTTTATCCCAAATTTATACGATTATCAACCTACATTTTTAATGTATATCGCTCAAGTCTGACTACTCAGTCTCATTCCGTCTCCTAAAGTGGTCTTCTCTGGAGTCATCACCATTTTATGTCCACTGATCTAGTACTGTTACGCGATAATTTACGTAATGAACTACATGGTCCGGCTAGTATAATAATGATAAAACAACTATGTTTCCTTATAGTTGATTTATTGTTTCTGAGATCTAATATTTGAGTTAATACTTTTAGGCCTCGTTTGGTTGTCATGATAAGACTAACAAGATAAGATTAAATAATCTAATTATGAAAATCTTAGTATTTTATTGGACCCGAAAAGGTCCAATGGCATGATAACATAATACTTACAGGTCGACCCGAGAAGGTATTGGATTTACCAAACATCAAACAGAGTTCAATTATTTAGTTAATCATGGCTAATCTCCCCAACCAAACGAAGCCTTAGTCAACTATATTATCATGTAGTCTATTAATAAAACAACTGCGCAACAGAGCAGTTGATTTACGTACAACTTAATCCAGATTTTTTTTAAATGTAGAATTAATAGGGATTATCACTAATTTCCTCAAAAAAATTGGACGCATTATATAGTATTAAATGTAAACTGAACAGTTGAACCGACACAAAAAAATGATCAATGCTCAGCGAGAAAAAAAAATGACTAGTAGTCAAGGTTGATGAACAACGACCAGTAAAAGAAATAATAACAAAAAAAGATTAAAGGAAATCGTCGACTTCGACGGATTAATTGTCGAAAAATGACTGATCAAGGGATCAATTGATAAATTAAAATAAAATTAGGTATTTAAATTTGAAAGATTTAAAAGTATATTCGTCCAAACAGAAGTACTAACTTTAAATTTGTAGGCTGACAGTCACAGTTATGGGCGCGAAGCCGTTCAAGCATATGGAAAACGGGCAGCCGGGGCAGCTCCCCACCACCGTTCGGGCAGCTCTCGAAAACACTGCGTACTACAGCACACAAACACGCCCAAAAAGAAAACAAATCCCCCTCCGATAATTATCACACACACTCACACTCTCTCTCTCTCCTCCACACTCCCAGTGAAAGAGAAGATTTCTAGAGAGAGAGAGAGAGAACGAAGAGAGAAAAAAACCAAAGTACAATCGAGGTAAAAAGTTTGCAGAGACCGATTAAAGCGGGCTGGAGAAGGAAAAAAAAAAAAGCAGTACGAAAATCCCAATTGAGTTTTTGGGTCTTGTTAATATCAACTGGGTTTCGTCGATTTTTTTTTTCAATAATTAAATGGTGTGTAATTATTTATTTATTTGGATCTGTGGTGTTATTTCATGAGTTGGTTCAAATTTAGACACGTTTTATTATATATAAATATAAATTTACTGTAATGAATATATGGTGATGAAGAAATTGAAGAAAGGAGAAGAAATGGTTTCACTGGTGGTGTGGCTGATTTTGTTGTCGCATCTTCTTCGCCGCATTTATGCTAATATGGAAGGTTTGTTTTTTTTCTAATATTTTCGATTTCGGTAATGGTTTGTTTAAAGTGAAAAATGTAGCTTGTGGGATGAATATGTGTGTTATATTTCTTGGGGTTTCGTAATTTTTAGTAATAGTCAAAAATTGTAGTAATTTTAGTGCCTGCATATTGTTCCGTTACAGTTATGCAAGAAATCGAACAAAGTTCTAGCATTTCTTGGGGTTCGTAACTTTTAGTAATATTCGAAAATCGTAGTAATTTTAGTGCCTGCATATTGTTCCGTTGCAGTTATGCAAGAAAATCGAACAAAGTTCCAGCACTAAAAATTAAATTGTTACGAATTTGTGACCGTTTAATTTTCTTTTGCTATGTTGTAATCAATCCATGTCGAACTTTCGTTGAAAAAGTGTAGTTGAAAGTATAAAACCATATTACGATTTCGCCGCATTTATGCTAATGTGGAAGGTTTGTATTTTTCTAGTATTTTCGGTTTCGGTTTTGGTTTCGGTTACGTTTTCGGTTTTTGGTTTTGTTTGCCCCTCTTTTATTGGGATATGAAATTTTGTTTGTTCAATGAAAAATGTAGCTTGTTGGATGAGTATGTAATTTATAGTAATGTTCCGTTGCAGTTATGCAAGAAATGGAACAAAGTTCCAGCCGTTTAATTTTCTTTTGCTATGTTGTAATCAATCCATGTCGAACTTTCGTTGAAAATGTCTAGTCGAAAGTATAAAACCGTTTTACAATTTCGTAATTTGAGATGCTTCCTTGCTGCATTATTATTTGTAGTAGTATAAATTTTTTTAATTGCATATTTTTCACATGTTGAAAATAGGCGATGCATTACATAGCCTTAGGACGAACTTAGAAGATCCGAACAATGTGCTACAGAGTTGGGACCCGACACTTGTCAACCCCTGCACATGGTTCCATGTCACCTGCAACAACGACAACAGTGTCATAAGAGTGTAATGAATTTTGCTATTTACTATCAATTTTCTCTCGTGTTTTTTTTTTATTGCATGCTTCTTTTAGTTTTTAATCACGATTTAGTTTGCTAATTGGATTGTTCGACTAATCTGTTTCAGCGATCTAGGGAATGCTGCTTTATCGGGTCAATTGGTACCGCAACTTGGCCTTTTGAAGAATTTGCAATACCTGTATGTCATGTTTTCGTTTCTCTTTTCTCGTTCCTCTTTTCGGATTAATTTTGCTATAGTGAATAATTTAAGGAACAACCTGGTAACCATTATTTTTTCGATATCCATAATCATTGGATAAGGAAATCATTCTACCTTCTACTTTTAGTTAGATATTCTTGATTATATATATATATATATTGTGTACTTACATAGTTTGTGTTGATATTTTTTTTTGTTGTGACAGGGAGTTGTATAGTAATAACATAACCGGTCCGATACCAAGTGATCTCGGAAATCTGACTAATTTGGTGAGCTTGGATTTGTACTTAAATACTTTCAACGGTCCGATTCCAGCTACTCTGGGGAAGCTGTCGAAATTGCGATTCCTGTGAGTAAAGTTAATCTAAACTAGCAAAATTGTGATAT